GATCTGAAAAAAAAAGCCAATGCCTTCTTGTTCTCCTGCCCGTTGTTCTCTTCAGATTAATGGAGAGGCAGTGGTGCAGATAGAGAAGTTCAAGTACCTCGGAACTGTATTTGCTAGTGATGTAAAATTGAAGAAATAGTTCAACCGGCGTATTGGAGTAACCAGTGGCGTTCTGCGTGAAGTAGCCCGATCCATTGTTACTAAAGCAGAGCTCAATCTGTAAGCTGTGCTCTCATTGTTCCAAGGCGATCTGTTTCCGCATGCTTACTTTTCACTTTTCGCTCATGTCACTTGAAATGCTTCGTAAATGATTCAACTTTTGCTTCAGTTCAGAGATCAGATTATGGAAGCTCGCTCCACCTACGATTTATATTGTAGAACGCAGTAGAGTCATTATACATCAGGTGACTGAATTGTTTGATTAATATACCTAGCCTTATCGTATCTGTCTCACCTTTTTGGCAAAAGGAAATTTCTTTCGTAAAATTGGAGATCTGAAGTAAGTAATGATAATAAATTGAACACTCTTCACATTTAACTCCTCCAGTCATCTGGAAAGAAACGATTCACTGTTTTTTTATTTGTTACCGTTTGCATCCGCGAGGATGTAAATGGAAACAGTTAAAAAACCTGTTTGCATAATCGAAACGATATATCAGTGCAGTTTGATTCCTAAGAGTTTTTAGCCTGGGAATCGAGTAGTGTTTTAAAACTCTTTGAAAGTTGCGCATTCTTGAAATGACACACCATGCCTCAGTGTCATCTACTCTTCTAAGCAGCTCGTTTGATGGGGCAATATTGAATTTTCAGTCAAAGGGTCACCATATCTTGCTTGTAGCCTATATAAATTTCTATAATATGTTAAATTATTTGCTTTACCTCTTCCATTCAGAGCTTCCATAACCACTGCAATATTACGCTGGCCGCTGGTTGATTGCGGGTGATCAGATATTTTATGATCATTAGTTCTCCACCTTTAATATTACCCCTATCACGTCTGATCCTGAATGTGATTACTATTATTTATCTATGAAATGCTCCAAAAGGAACAGTACATCTCGATTTCATGCCGAAGCCCTAGACAATCATACTTGTCCTGATTCATGAAAGTGTAACTTAGTGAATGGTCAACTGCGCATGGTTCCTTGCAAAGAAGCGATTCTTCGTTTTCTGAATCTGAACTTGTAACTAAAAGAAATTCTGGGATCAAAATATTAGCATAATATCCACAAGTTAAGTGGCCTAGCGATTCCGAAACCGATGAAATATACTATAGAGCTAAATGATTTAAGTTCAGTTTTAGCGAATAAGTGCATCAGAGTATTTGTACATATGTATCGATTATCGCAGTTAACGAATTATACGTTTGAAGTCTAAATTATTAAGCAGTCTTGTAATGAAAAAATAGCGCTTACAGCTGTTTTATTAGTATCGTGTCCGGGCGGTGGTCAGCCTGTTGGAGCCTGTGTCAATAATCAGTGTGGCAATGGTTTTTTTTGTCATGCTGGAAGCGTGTGCTGCCGTCGAACAGGTAATTTCTTACATAACTGATTCTGAATAAACCAGAAATAAATTTGTTCATATTTCTGGTATCATCTGTTCAAAATAACCTACTGCAACACACAATCCAGTCATGCTTACGATTTATGCAATTAGCTTGATCATGCGTGATGCTATTAGAGTGATAATATTCAATTCAACCATCCACTTGGTCATGGCATCTATTTCGATTCTCCAGCGCAATCTCGTTGTCTAATTTGTTTTCAAGACATCCCTTTTACTTCTCGTAATAAGTTCTTTTTTGGATCGAAACGGCAATACTCTGAGAAGCAGGTAGCTAAGTTCAACACCTCACCACAGTCTTCAATCCTTTTTCTTTCTCATCCAGTCTTGGGAACGGCAACGGCCAAGTTGGATCATGCAGCAGGTGTTGGAAATTTTCGCTGTAAGATTCAGGCTTTTGGCAGGTGTTCTTTTTGATCAGTTTGCCATTCACCTGTTCTATTGCGTCTGATCGTGCCAATGGGCTTGTCACAGAAAGAGTCAATAAAGAGGTAATGGAAAATCCGATATTTAGCACGTGCTGTAATTAGTGCTAATTGTGTTAACCGGATAACCGCGAGAGCGGCTGAAGAACCAACCATGGTCAGGATTGACCCAATTCGTGCTTCATAAAATTGCCAAAATTGAAAATAATTTATTGGAAAATTAATTCCAATGGTATTCCGTGATTTTCTGACATAACCATGTTAATGAAGTTAAGTGACTGTGGAGCTTCAGTCCCGTGTGCCTATAATCATGAAAGGACAAGCCATCGTTTTCAAATCACAGCACCTGACCATTACAAATTTCTGCCGCACTTACTTCAAGATTCTGTATGCCTCACGGTTTGGCACAGCCGGTCAATGCATTTCAAGATAACAATTTCATTTATTAATTTT